CATATATATTTCTAGAAAAAAAAATATATATATATCAGAATGGATTAATTGTGAGAAGTAATAAAATTAACAAAGAGATAATATCATGAAATAAAAGATATATAGTATCATATATATTTCTAGAAAAAAAAATATATATATATCAGAATGGATTAATTGTGAGAAGTAATAAAATTAACAAAGAGATAATATCATGAAATAAAAGATATATAGTATTATATATATTTATATATATAAGTATAATATATATATCATATATATTTGTACAAAAAAAAATATATATCAGAATGGATTAATTGTGAAAAGTAATAAAATTAACAAAAAGATAATACTGTGAAATAAAAGGTATGTATATATAGTATGTATATATAGTATATAATAATATAATGTATTTATAATATGTATATATAATATTATATATATTTGTAGAAAAAAAAACATATCAGAATGGATTAATTGTGAGAAATAATAAAATTAACAAAGAGATAATATCGTAAAATAAAAGATATATAAAAGTATCATATATATTTGTAGAAAAAAAAAAAATATATCAGAATGGATTAATTGTAAGAAATAATAAAATTAACAAAGGGATAACGCGAAATATTAATACACGCAAGGCAAGAAGATAGAAGAAACCCATTCATCGACTTCCAACCAACGCACTAATTACATCATGTTCATCAACGTGGAGTTTCTATAAAAGAGGGAATAAGACCTCATCGAAGACGCGGCTCGATTTTCCCGGAGTTTTACTAATTACACGCGTACCTGTCGGTGTTGCGGCGATGCTCGTCGAATCCGCGAATACCTCATTATCGCGAGACACGAACAGCATCCGGATTCCGCGAACTGGAAACTTGGAAAGCCGCGGCAATTTCGTTCGTTACTCACCGTGGAACACCGTGGTCCCTAGTGATAATGATTGTGCGGCTGCATTACGATTCTTTGGATAAAAGCCGGATGGGAAGACGACGATGATTTTCCCCAAGTTATTCCCCAAGTTATATACAGAGGCGAGCAAGAATCTTCGATAATCTTGGAAAACACATTGATGATGCTAGAGATTAGAGTTAAATAAAATTACCGATTTTTCTTTTCAAAAAAAAAAAAAAAAAAGAAAAATTCATTATTCGACGAATAAGAAGAAAGAAACGAATCTAAAAAAATTATTCGAATCGTTCTTCCAAGATTCGTCTATGCGCTCTTAGTTAGAAGAGTAAAAGGATGTTTCTTCCTTGTTCTTCTGAAAAGAGAAAAAAAGGGAAAAAAATTCTAGATCAATAATACGGGCACGGGTCTCTGTTTTTCTCGTCGTACGTTGTTTGGTCTCAGCAGGAGCGGACGTAGAATCGAGAAGTACAGGGAGGGAGGAGAGGGTTGGTGTTATTTTTTGAACGGGCCAGGTGAGGAACAAAGGGACGATCGGTCGGCGAAGGCGCGAGGAAAAACAGGTAATGGCGGATACTCGAGGCGAAACAAGGCGGGAGGGCCGCAGAGGTGGCGCCACCGTTGATTGACCATTTGCATAGACAAATAAGTTCCGGGGGCTGTGCGACGAACGGCTGTTTACCCAGCAGTCGAATAATCGTTTTCGAAGCGATTTCGAGCCCCCTCTGTCCAAGTGTACGAGGACAAACACGGCCAAGTACCCTTTCGAAAATTTAGTGGGGCGCGAATCGCGGGCTACAACGTGTCGATTTCCAGCCAGAGCTTCGTCGTCCATTTCCGTTCACAATCGTTCCCCTCCCCTCCCCACTCCATCCCCGGATACGTTCGAATTGTTAAACAATTTTTTCACCACTCATTCATGGAATGAGTATCGTTCAACAAAGGAAATGGATACATGAAATAGTTCGAGAGGTTTTTTCGACTCGTTTGTTGATTTTTCTTTTCAGGGGGGAGGGGGAAGGGATTCAGGTTTTTGTCATCGATGCTTTTTCTTTTCTTCTTCTTCTTCTTCTTCTTCCTCTTGTTCAATCGAATTGTACATTAGGGGAAATTAGTTTCTTTTCTTTTCTTTTTTTTTTTTTTTAACACGAAACATTTTATTAGCGAAATTTTAAACGTTTGGAAAGAGTTTGAGAATCACTGTTGACAAATTACTTATCGAATTTGCTGATATAGGAGTTTAAAAATTTATAACTTTGAAATTTAGAGCAGAGTAATCAAATGCTATTATCTTCAAGGCTCCTCTAGAGATTCTCTGGTATTATCTCTGGTAAACAAAATTTTGACGTGATTTATCAATCGCGAAAATAATTTCTGTTGCCATTTCAAAATTTAATCGAGACACACTCGTGAAAATGGTATTTCAGTAAAAGTAAGAAAATCGATTTTAAGATTCTTCGAAATTATTATTATTATTATTATTATTCCAACAGGTTGGGGAGGGATTTTTCACGCAACTCTTGGAAATTGTATAAAATCACGTGGAAGAAACTGTAAAATTTGCATCTGACTAAACTTCCCGAATACAAAGTGTTCCGAATTTCCGTATAAATCAACAGTTGTTGGAACAACTTTCGTTTAACAACCGGAGGCAGGAAATGGTCGAAGTTAGTCTCGGTTGCTCGCAGCAGAAAATATTCCGCGGTACGAATCGTTTAAAATCTTGCTGCACAAAAGCCATAATTCTCTTCTCTCTCTCTCCCTCTTTCTCTCTTTCTCTCTCTCTCTCTCTCTCTCTCTGCCTAATTAAAATTCCACGCCGTGATCTAGTTTTTTATTTACAAAACAATTCCTTGTCTTTCGACGTAAGAAGAAGCTTTGTGATTGTTTCGTAATTTTTTCTTTTTTTTCTTTTTTTTTTTTCATTCCTCTCCTTTCCTATGCCTATAAAAAGCAAAGATCGATTCCATTGAAAAATATACGCACGCTCTTTCAAATTTTAACCTCCTTCGAAAAATCGAAAAATCGAAAAATCGATCCTCCTTCCATCCTTTCTTTCATCCCTTTTTTCAAAATTATATGCAAGTATAAATAGAAGAAAAATAAATTTCTGGGAACGAAAAAAAAAAAGAAAAATAAAACGAAACGTTCGAGACGTTCGCCTCAATTTGCCGGAAACGACCAACGACAGAGAGATGGAGGGAGAGTGGAGGGGGAGAGGGAAAGAACAAGAGGGGCTGCAGCGTGATTAATTTCCCCGAGCGCGGGATACGAATATTTTATGCACGCGGTTTCAACTTCTCCGCGCTTAATTTTCACAGGATTCCATTATATTTTTCGTAGGCCCTCGTCGATCCACTGGGAAGGATCCTCGCCGCTCGTGATTATGATCTTCCTCTCTACATACGTTATTCACGTTCGTTCTTCCAAGAAATGTTCTTCTTTCCGTTTCGTAGCTGACAATATTTTTGAGAATATTTCGTTGCAAGATTTTTTTTTTTTTTTTTTTTAGT